GAATTAAAAATTTGTTATTTTTTCCAGTTTCATTGAAACAAATAGTATTAAATTTAGAAATAAATTTCATTTTCAAGAGGAAAAAAAAGTAAAATATTTTATCAACTTGACAATATATCTTTTCAACTATTTTGTTTAACAGGATAAAGGGATATTTGTAAAGTTTCAAATGATAAAATCATTAAAATTTTCATGCTAAAATAAATTATTTCATTTTCATTACTTTACTCACTTTATAAAAACTTGTTGAAAAGTTTATACAGTAGTGGTTCGCGATAATGAAAAAATTTTAATTTACATATTTATGAAGAAAAAAAAGTTTAATTGCAATAACGTCTATGAATAAAAAATAATTTGATTCGCAATACTTTTGGTAAGATTGGGGGAATATGTTGAAGATATAAACAGCTAGTATTATTGCATTTCAACATATTATGTAAATACATTCAACATTAAACATATTTCTCCCGTTGTCAGCAAAAATAAACGAATTTATGCAAATTATTGATAATTTTCTGTTGAATATCTTTATAAGTATCAAATAATAAAGTAAAACTCTTTCAATACATTATCATAAAACGCATTTGGTTTTCTTTTGACACTATTTTTCTTTCTATTGTTATAACCGGTATTGCCGACCCAAAATTCAGTTTACGACTATCAATATACAACTCTTGTAATTTTGTACTAAAATACTGAAGACAAAGGGAACTTCTGGATCAAGCAGTGGGATAGCCTTCGTGGGGAACTTTTTTGATGGAACAGCATTTCTTTACATGGAGAGGAAATACACGAAAACCTCTACGTATAGCATGAGAGTGAGGGGATCAGTCACTGAGGATATTTTACATTATTACTGGGGTTAGTGAGAACCGGGAGCAGAATTAATTTCAATCAGCCACCGCTAGTATTCGAACATGCGTCACCTTATTGAGAGGTGAACTTTTGTCACTATTAATGTAAGTAACAATAATTTTATGTAATAATAATAACTGTAAAATATTTTCTTGAAAATTACACACTGCAATCCGGCAAATTTAATTATTTTACAAAAATCTGCGGTTGAAGCCCGATCAAATAATACGCTCAGTTAATCTCAATAACACTGCAGGCTTATAATGTTCAAACGTATCTAAGAAGACTGAAACTTAAGGAAGGGAGAAAAAAAACATGAACGTCTCCAGCATCTGATTTAAGAGGGGAGACAAAATTAAGATACAGTTTCAAAAACTCTCAAAATTTTTAAATTTAATACAAAAATTGAAAAAAAATTCATCTAAAAAGTTATTAATTTTTAAAATTTTTAGCTTGTCTTTAACGTAACAAAATTTATATCAATGGTGATTTATAAAAATTGATTTTTGACGATTGGGGGGGGGCGGGATTATATAGTTAAAAGCAATGCACGTACACTATCAGGAAAAATAATACATCTTTTTATTATTATTTACTTCTTAATTTGTAACAGGGGAAACAAACCCAATTTTCAATATTTTGAAACCCACACTTTTTACCTACGTATTTCAATGCACCCAAAGACCTCATATTAGAGATTATGAAACACCCACATGTTGACAACGATAACACACTTTCAAGGGAGATAATAAGTGGGTCACTTTATATGAAAGGTTCTTCTTTTTTGCGCGAGCCTTTATTTTCTAATTACCCGAAATGAAGAGAATTTGTAAAAAATCCTATTAAGGGTGTTATCAAGGCGTTGACACATTGAGTCGAGCATTTTTATTATCATAATCTGTTCACATAAAGGCTTTAGTATATTACTAAAAGGGTGTTTTCTCACAAAGAATAAAAAAAGTATCATTTGGATTGAACAGAACCATGAAAGATGATCATTTTTTAAACTTTGTTTGAATTATAGTCATTTTTAAAAACTAATTACAAATTAACATTCTGATAAATTAAAATACACTACCACTCACTGATTTCAATCCACCCAATCCTTTTTCAGTTTTTCCAAGAAATATACAAAGCAATTTACTCGCGCATCCATAATCTGTTGCATAGTTTAAGATTTTGGTCTTGGAATCTCCTTTCAATCAAAGTAATCCTTATTAAAAGTGACCACCGTCCTTTCGTATTTAACATATTCTATTCTTGAGTGGGTCCAAAATGTCGCCGCATCTCCCATGATTTCGATAAAAATGTTGAAAAAATTTAAAAAAATAAAAAAAGGTGGGCTAAAACAAAATTAGCAAGCGGTACAGTAAGTATATGCATCATGCATATTTATCTTCGATCAAAAATGAGGGGAGAAATATTTTCAAAGGAAAAATCTCATTGAAATTGAATTTGCCAATATACAGCCATCTTTTTAGCTATATTCTTCCACTTTTCCGTACCAAATCTAATAGAAATTTCATTAAAAAGAATTTATAAATAGCGCCTACTTTTGAAGCTTCCTTTGCTATTCATTACGAATAAAAATGATAAAATGTGTCATTATAATGTAATTTAAATAGCAATACTTAGTAGACGATGTCTACTTAGCACATGGAAGCCTTATGATGAAACTATAACAAGTAGAAAATAGAGACCCATACGAGCTTGTATTACGATATAATAAATGAATCTGGAAATTTCCCAATCCCTGTTCAGTTAATCCTTAATTATATATTACAATCTTCAGACATGATTAACCAAATCATAACTTTTATTAGTGTTTTCTTAGATGGAATACTTGATTTGCGGCCCCTCGAAGTGCAAAAAAATAAATAAATAAAAATAAATAAAAATTTACATATATATATAAGAGTAAGTTACATAAACTTCTTTCTTTTGCGAGGTGAGGTTTTGAATGTCGAGGTAAGTTTAAGGATTATATAGAAAGAAAAAAAAACAATTTGACATTTTGCTAAGAAAAAATTTCAGTAACCAAAGCATGCTTCAAACGAATGTATTATAGTTCAATGATTTTTAAAAAAATTACGATGTAAATAATTAATAAACAATAAAAAATATTTAAAAAATTTTATAACCTGCTACCATTTAATTTTCTTAAAGAAGACGAAGAACGCAAAACTTTTCATATTTTTTCAATAGAAAATATTATATCGATAATTTATATAATTTACTTAAGTTTAAATTAAGACAGTTTGTTATTGTTCTTAATACACAAACGGAGTTATTAAGTGATGGATTATCAATTAGTATAAAGACTGAATTTCTTGCGGCCACCGTCCGGCAAACCTTCTTCAAAATAAATAAACAATAAATAGTGCAGTCCTGTCTAGTCCGTAAAGCATTTTCAACTCTCACCTATCAACTAATTTAAATTTTCATCACACATCTGAAAATCTTTGTGTCACTACATGCATCCACTTGAATATGAGGACAAAGAGGTCACGGAACAGAGTATAAATACAAGAGACTTTTGTTTTGAGACGAAACAACGGTGATAGAACACGGATGGAACAAGACATGTAATTTCAGTCGACATGCAACAAATGGCAGGAAATGCACGAAATATGCAACACAACTTTTTGACAGTCATTCAACAGTAGATGAAAAATAGGAGTCATAAACCATCTTCTCTCTAACACTCCTACAGAGAAATCATTCACAGAGACAAATTAAGAAACGGCTTTAGCTCTGCTTATTTTCACAAGAGAAATTTAAACTGAGTGATTGGAACGTGCATCAAAAAATATAAATTTCGCTTGGGATATGATTATAAATTTTTAAAAAACATAGTAAAAAATTTTACGAAATGAAAGGGAAAGTGTTGCCAGGTTTTCATCCTATTGAGTAGAATATTTCAAAGATGCCTCTGCAAGCCTGATTCTTTATGAATTATAATTGTTTAGAAAATAATACCTATATAAATATTATTTGAAACAAAAAGTTCTAAATAATAAACAATCAAATAAAATTGCGTTATTTTACTTCACATCTTGCTATAAATTCAGATAATGTATAATACAAAACAGTTATTTGTCGAAAACTTTGTATTCGTTTTAGCTTTAATATGGGTTTGTGTTTGTATGAATATGTATTTCTGATTAAAGTGAGCAACATCAACATACTTTTCGGTGTAAAATTTATTTTAGAGAGATAAGTGGCTTGACATTTAAAAAGTAATTTTAAAATGATATTTGGAGAACTTTGTTAAAAAAAACAGGCTACTATTTTAGTCACCTGTCAATTAAATAACAAAGTTAATTTATTTTACCGAGTCTTTATCGAAGTGTTTTTGGAGTGAAAGCAACAAACATCCTAGAAAATCTCTTTTGCATACGAATATGTGAAGCGAACACAATAACTAGAGTAGTTTAAATTAAGTGGTTAAGAGAGATTTATGTATTTCGTTCACTAGAAACACACGAACAAGAAATGAAGGCAAGATATAAATCTATTGTCAACGTATACACTTCAGAGTTACATTTATTTTAATTCGCTATAATGTTTCTTAGAACCTTCCTTCTCTCAGCTCTTCATTTACCAAAGCTAACAGATACAGCAAATTATAAATTTCTTCTTTTTTTTATTCTCAAGTGTATTTTGATCAGCCATATTTCTTATTAAAAATATCGCTTTAAATAACTTATAATTTTACTCATTTTCAAAGAGACAAAAATTATTTCATCCATCATTTTTAAATCCTAAAAATTTATGAATTTATGGAAATTCATTTCTATTAACGTGTGATTTTGGAGTACATTTTTCAAAATAGGCTTCATTATCAATTTTAAACTGAAGTTAAATTGAGAAAACTGAACTAATGTTTTAGTTAATAGTGCTAAAAATGATTTGACATTTTACATAGAGTAATATCATTAAATAAAATATTAAGAACAATTAAAAATTTTTTTTTTTTTTTTTTTTTTTTTTTTTTTTTTTTNGTTTTTTTTTTTTTTTTTTTTGAATAAAAATAGAAAGCAGCCAAGAGAATTTAATTCTGAACCTCGAAAAAATATATTCTTTGCAAATAAAAAGAAGAAGAAAAATGGGTTTGTTAAGAAATATGTAAAATAAATAAATACCTGAAAGTGAAGGATTATTGTCCATATAAGTCCTAATGTTAATTTTGGATTTCCATCAACAATATCTTCTGCTCTAATATTAACAAGCTTTATCTGAAGGGAAACATATTGATTACAAATTTAATCAAAATACACAATAATTAAATTTGCACGAATTGTATTTTAAATGTTATCATTTAAAAATCAATACTATTTATTTTAATAACGGGAAAATGTAGATAGTTTTAGAAATCATACTTAGGAATATTTGTTAAGTTATAAATCTCCGAGAACAAAAAAAAAAAAATAAATANAAAAAAAAAAAAAAAAAAAAAAAAAAAAAAAAGATAATCCGTTAATCCTTACAACACTTAAAAAAAAATTATGAGAAGATTAGAAATTAATTCAATAAAAATTAAATCACAGATAAATCCAGAAAAACCACATTTAAAAACCAATCCATTTACTTATTTTTGTAAAGACAAAAAAATATAGAAGTTTTTAGTGCTTGCACCGAAAAATATTTACAAAATTATAAGAGCTGTTCTCAAAACGTGGATGTAGTACAACACAGAACTAAAGTTCAAGCTTTTTCAACAATTTAATTTAAATTCAATACACTGTAAAAATTGTCAAGTAAATTTATAATTCTCTCTAGTGACAGGAATCAACATAAATAATAACAAAAATTTTCTTCAAATACCTTAAAATGTTAATTTTTCATTAAAATGATCATTCACGCTGTTAACTGAACCAATGTAATAACAAATATTTAAGAAGTAATCAAATGCTTTAAAATACAATGAGAGAATAAAATTTCACTCCGATAATTTTCATTAGATGACACAATTCTAAGTTTAAGCTTGCTGTTTTAAAGCTTTATGTTCAGAAAAAGTAATTGAGTATTCTTTTTTGCACCTCCAAACGTAAAGAGAGCTTTTCTTTTAACGGAAAATATATAAAGTATTTTAAACTTTATTAAAATCATTTGCGCTGTTGCGTCCGTTGCAAAATGTTTTAAATTAATATTACAAAATTACAAATAAATTAATTAGGACAAAATTATTACAAAATTTAGCATAAGAAGCAAAACTTAAGCAAAATTCTAACATACATCTATGTCATCAAAGAACACTTTTATTCACTCGCTTTTGTGCATTATAATGAAGCTGTGCAATCAAAATTAAGATCATTTTCTAACAAGCACTCAGATTCCGACAGGAGCGATGATAATGTAAGTTTCAATAGTTCTCCAGACAGTTCGAAGCAAAATGTAATGCGATATTCTTTCGAAAGAAAATGTACCGTTAGTCAACATTTCGATCACTTTCAGACTAGCTAGAGCACGCACAATTTCCGTGATGGATTTCAATAATTTCCTCATTATAAATAGAATTGACTGCGCTATTATAACCAAAGGTCACTGATTACGAAGACATTCCGACTAGCTTTTAAATCTCTCTAATTATAATAGCGACGAAAGTAATCGAATCGAATTAACAAATACTGTTTTGAGAAAGCACCATCTTAAATGTGTATCTCATTCATATGTGGGCTGTCGTCCTTCATCAAGTATTTTTATGAGTGTATAAAAAAGTACATTAAACCCCTTATTTATCACGTATTTTTGATTTTACAAGCATTTCAATTTACAAATAAATGAAAAAAAAATTGAGTTAATACATACATTTTGTATTAACATGTTAATAGGGGATGCACAACTTGTGGCTCGCAAAAACTTCTGAACACGATAGAAATTTTAAGAAATAGAAAAAATAACAAAAATATCGAAAATTTTGTATCTCACATTTAAATCATAATTTCTTGAGGAGCTCAATTTACATAGACTCTATTGTAAATCTATGTTTCTCGATCGGTTTTTGAGCCGTAATTGCTTCGAAAGTTTGAACGTTTTCTTTTTTTTTAATTTAAAAAAAAAATGCTTGTAATACGATACTAAGATACGCGAATTTCGAATTTGACAAATTTTCACGCGTTTTTAAAATTGTGGTACATTTAATAATTTATGTATTTTAATTGCGCACTTTTTGACTGTGTATTTACGCCTATTTCATCGCAAAACAAAACTTTAATTTATTAATTTATTTTTTATTTCTTTATACATTTTTTTAAAATGTAGTTTTTGCTACGCTTTTCAACATGATTTTAAAAATGCCAAATTTTTGCTTAGAGATCATTACGACACACGAGTTTCAAATTGTACATTTAAATATTCACTTTTTGATACGCTTTGTTCGTACCGATTTCAACGTAAATCCAAGTTATTTTTCGGCAGTTATTGCTTTACATTTTCAATTGGTTTAAAAAATTCAGAATTTTATTACGACACGCAAATTTAAATAAAGCATTTAAATAATTACTTTTTGACACGCTTTATTCGTGGTGATTTCATCGTAATTTAAGCTATTTTGTAGCAACTACTGTAATGTTTTTCCACGTGATTTTGACGATTCCGTTTTTTAGCAACTACGATTTATTAAGACAAGCGAGTTTTTAATCACGCATTGTCACTATACTTTTTGATGCAATTTTGTGTCGTACTTTATCGTCAATCCAAATTATTCTTCCACCATTTTTTTTAGCAGTTAGAGCCATGAATCCCGATATTTATACACAATGTAATTATAACATGAAGAATTCGAAAAGTGTTGAAAAACGTGAATTTTTAAGCTGCTCCTCACTGTTTGTGATTTTTTTTATTTATTTATTTTTTCAGGTAAAAAACGAAAAAGAAAACGTCTCGTATTTAAAATTCATAAAACCTCTAATAATTCAAGAAATAGAAATAATATCTGAAGTATAATACCAAATAAATATGGAATCTTATTTTATACCATAATATTTTAATTTTAATCTTTGGTTTTTGTTTAAACCCTATAAATTTTCTTCAATTAAAATTAAAATTAAATTTATATTACTCATCAAAATATGTATTTACTGATTTATTTTTAATACTTTCATTCTGTAAAGATCAAAATTTTTTCGTTTTTTTTTTAAAATTTGAATTTATTTTAAAACGATTTTTTGTAATGAGGGATAAGACAAAAAAAAACCTACTTCTTTTATCCAATTTTTATATTATTTTGAATAGATCAGTTTTTGATAAAAAGGTATTACATTTTATTTTGACAAAAGATATTTTTTTAAAAGAAAGTATGAGTTTTTTCATTTTTGAATGAATTTTTATAATTAAAAGTATTTTTAAAAATGAAAAGTATTTAATTTTCTAAAAATATTACTGACTAACTTCAGGTTTACTGATAAAAAATAAGTGCTTCAAATAAAAATTTCGTTATTTGCCGTCATCGTGTCTAAATAAGCGCGCTGTGCAAGTGGTTCTTTCATTCAAAAAAGTTATGCATTCTTATGTTAACACACAAATAATTTTTAAAATAAAAAGCAGTTAGCATATAAGAATAAAAAGAGACGAACCTTTCTATATCTGAGGAAATCTAATGCTATCTGTACATTTTGGAGTTTATGGAATCGCAGAACTCCTTTCTCTCGAGGCTGAAATACAACACAAAAAAAAAATTTGATTCATAAACGATATTAAAAGAATAATAATTTAAGAAGAAAGTTCCTTTTTAAATAATAAAATAATTCACTGATTGCACCCACTTTTCTATAAAGAAAAAATATTCACTATAAAGCAATATACTAAATGGTTGNAATATTTATAATCATCTCATTAATCGATTCATTATCGATTAATAATAATACTACACTACTAAATGGTTGTAAAAGAGAAATCGAATTCAATTAAATTACCCTATTAAGTACCAAAGCTCATTTCAGGATCACGTTCTTTTTTTCTTATTTTTCAAAACTTAATTTTTAGAATTTATTTTGAAAGAGCAAGAAATATGGATGCGATATCTTTCTTTGACCCATTCACTGCTAAATTGCAGGTCTTAAATAAAAATAAATGAATGAGAATTAATTTTACTCGTATCATTCAAATAAGAAATATTTTTTACTTCTCTTAAATTCAGTTATTTATCCCAAAAGAAAATGATTTTGACTCACCAGTTTTTCACTTGAAAGTACTTCAAGGAGAGATATAAGGTTAAGTCCATCTCTAAGGTCATCAAAGAGATCAAATATTTCTCTATTAGCCTAGAATACAATGACGAGAATTAAAATGAAACTCTTTCTAATAACACATATTGACGCTGAAAGAGGAAAGCAAAACATAGTTAACATAAACAATCAAACATAAGCTAACATAAAGTGACCACACGTCCCAATTTTGGCGGGACAGTCCCGCTTTTTGGTGGACTGTCCCGCGTCCTGCCGATTTTTAAAACTGTCCCGCTTTTTAGAAAATATCTGCATTTCTTATTTTAAATGTACTGTAAAAATATATTACCTATTATTTATTAAGTATTATGGTGAATATGAAGGAAAAAAAACACATAAAATGCATGCAGAGTAAACTAAATTAGGCAATGTACCGAGTTATATTTTCTCGGTGGTGTTCGATCATTGTCGTTACGTCTCGGCTTAATTCAGGTAAATGCAGACAGTGCGGTTTGTTGTTTTTAATTTGACGTTCGGTTTGACTCATTATTTGATTGACGAAGATAGTGGTAGAGCAATAGTCGCCACAACGTAACGGTCAATAAGGTAAAATTTAATACTCTTTCTTAGCTTTTGCAGCAATTTTTTTTATTTATTTCTGGTATTTACCTACAGAATAAAAGATTAGTAAAAAAAGAGAATGCAAATTTAATGAAGAGCTAAGCAGAGAATTTTCATTTATTAAAAAAACCAAAATAGACTATATGGTACGGTGTGATAAATGCAATGCTGAATTTTTGGTCTCACATGGTGAGAAAAACGATATTACTAAACATCTAGCGACAAAGAGGCACAAAAGATTTTTGAATAATGCCGCTTCCTCGTCTAAAATGGAACAGTTTTTTCGCACTGCTAGCTTTGGCAACACGGAAAAACAGCTAGCATTAGCGGAAGGGCCATTTGCTTTCCACACCATAAACCTTGATCTGAAAATCAAAGTTTCAGATCAATGGATTCTACATCGCAAATGATCAAAACATTATAAGACAAAAAATATGCACGTGCAAGGACAAAAACCGAAGCAATTAATTGTAATATTTTTTCCCCATATTCGTTTTCACAATTGCAGAAAGAATTAGAAAAATGCACATTTATATCCATGAATTCTGATGCTTCCAACCACAAAGATTTAAAATTATTTTCCACAATTGTTAGATTTTTTGATCCAGGAACAGGAATTAAATATAGAATATTAGATTTTGTTGATTGCCGAGTGTAACTTCACAAATAATTTTTGATTCAGTAAGTACTATTTTAAAAAAGAATAATTTGAACATATGAAATGTTACAGATGAAAAAATTAAATGTTGGTTATCTGCAAATGTGGAAACAGACAAAAAATGGACGGAGTTATTCCTTCATTTTAAACAGAATAATATTCCTTATCAAAATATTTTGAAAATTGTAGAATTCGCGCTCTCCCTTCCAGGAACAAATGTAGCAACAGAACGTGTTTTTTCTAGTATCAATAAAATATGGACAACTGAAAAAACGCAGTTGAACATTAAAACTTTAAAAATCTATTTTAAGTGTAAAATATAATTTGACCAATTCATGTGAAATATTTCACGACATTTTAATAAATGATCCGAATCTATTGCTAAGTATTCACTCAGATCAAAAATATGACCGTGAAAGAAAATCATAATTTTTTTTAAATAAAAAATTTAATTTGATTAAAAATCATGATGTTCAAATTATTATTTTTTACAAATATTTTTATAGTTACCAATAATTAATAGTAAATACATTTTTGTACAAGTATATGAATGTATACAAAGAAATATATATAACTAAATTGTAATTCTCATTTCATCCCATTTGTCCCGCTTTGTCTCAATGAAAATGTGGTCACTTTAAGCTAACAGCTACATTTAACCTATGCCAATGGAACTTAGTATATTGTTATATTGTAATCAAAATTTCATTCAAAAGGAAATAATAATAGCGCATGTAAAGTAAAACGCAAGTGGGCTATTCTTTCAATTTTTTGCTATGTATGATTTTTATCAATCAATCAATATATATATATATATATATATAATGTGAGTGTGAGAGAAAGTTGGTTCATCGAAGCGATTCAAAAATCATTACTATTTTTTAAAAAATTTTAACTTTCGGAACCCTAGTTACCTTTCCATGGAACCCCGGGATTCCGAGAACACCACGGATCCGCTGGCCTATACATTAAAATAAATAACCAGAATCACGTTTTTGCGCACAATGACTAAACTTTCTTTAATGACCTCTGTAATCGATCTTTCTCAGAAAGATAAAAATTTAAAAGAAGAATAAAAAATACACCTCTTATTTATATGTATCAAAACAAATAGGGTAAATCTTGGCAAGCATTTATTCAGCAAAACAATTTATGAACATCTTGAACAATAATACTATATATCCTACACTGATTAACATAACAGATTCCAAGGCATTAATTAAACGATGATCCTTGAATGAATGTCAAGAATTACAATAGGCTCTATATCCATATTATCAGAGACAGAGTGAAGGGGGGGGGGACTGAAACGGAACTTGAGTGTAGCGAATGCCGAAACAATTAATGAGAAGAAGGGTACTCCTTAAAGATAGTAATCAGTGAGGCAAGCACATTGCAGAACGTGTTAATCACGAATAAGTTTCTTTTAAAAAAAGTATATATTAAAGTGTTTCCCTCTTTGATTTTATCACTGAAGATTGATGTTAATACGGGAACAAGGAGCTAATAAAAAATGTAGACCATACGTAAATAACTAGTTTGTTAAATAGCTATAATCTCACACAAGGTGTACGTAAAATATGCATAAATGGAAATTTTTAACTTACGAACATTTTTTCCTTCAAAAAATAAATAAAATAAAACTGTATGCAGCTATTTAAATAAGTAAAAATTGTGTTTGGGTTGAATATTGGAAGGGTACTCAAATTACAAATGCTTCATCGAAATAAATTTTTTACAGAAATTTGTTTATATTATCAAACTCAAATTCTATATTATTAAAAAAAAGGATTTTTCTATGTAGATAATATAAATTTAAGTACTTCATTAAAGTGATAATTTAGATTGAAGGTTTTAGTTCAAAAAAGATAAAAACGTTTCAAGTTATTCTTGCTTAGAAAGTAAATGTTATCCAAAAAAGTTCAAATATTTAAAACGAAACAATTTTAAAATATCGTAAACAATTTATGATTTTCATTTACACAAAATTCATCTGAAAAAAAAATTAAAGCAAAGAACTAAAATTGTTTCAAAGAATCTTGAAAAGAAATCTTATTTTTTAGGGTACTTTTTACATAATATTTTTAATTTTTAAAGCAGGAATAATTTTACTTTATCAATTAGATTGATAATTTATATTTATAATATACCTGAACTTCTAAAAAATTTTATTTAATATTTTAAAAAGCTATTTTTGATCAGCATTTTCGGGATGTTAGTACAATACTCCTTGCAAATTGTTTATGGAGTAAATGTTTATTATAAGATGCCCATCAATGGATGGTATTGATTAAAAAAAATTATCAAGGTAATTTTTTTAAAATAACATGTTTCATAAAAATTTAATGATTTAAATCGTAAATCCATATCATATTCTGAACATTATATAATTTAAAATACGTATTAAATTTCATGAGACTTTTCTGAAACATAATAAAAAAGCGAAATGAGAATATTTCTATTTTAAATTTAAAAACAAAATTAGTTTACCTATTAAATCGCAAAAAGAATACAAATTCGATGCAAAAAGTAAATATTTATCGTGGAGTAATAAACATTTTTTTACGAAAGTGAAAATAATAGTTCAGAGTAAATTCTCAGAAATATATTTTTTTCATAACTTTTATTCAATTTTTGGAAACTTAATGAGCCATGCCCCTCAATTGAAATTAATAAGTAAGTACTTTTACGTTTCTATTTCAGTAAAGATTGAAATCTTATGTCCCTGTTACGTGACGCTAAATTGTCCGAAAATTTTTTTAAGTCAAAGGTCTCCACTGAAAAATTCACTGACTTAAAAGCATCACCCATTGCGGCCCTATTTCAATTGCTGAACATTGATATAATTTCATTTTGGTATCACTTTAATAAAAAGTTTTATTAACCAGAAAGAACCCAATAACCTTCAATAACGGAACGATAATAGAGATGTCCAAGCCAGAAACCGAACTATATCACTGAGTGAAATCAATCAATCAATTGCCCTTTGCACCATATCTATTAGGCGATTCATTTCCATATCTAGTAGACGATTCATTTTCACATCCCAATAGCAACTGATTGATCATTGATGGATTACCAGTGGACAGGTAAGTGAAGTGACGTTAGCTTAGATATCTTGATAAATAATCTTAGGTTTTATCGGGACAAGCATTACCGACATTTATGACAAGCATTACGTCTTAATGGAGCCAACGTCAGAAAGAAAAAAAATTTATAACATAGAAAATATCATTTTAAATATAAAGCATATGGTTGTAAGCTACACCACGCCCATTGAATGCCTTTGCAAATTACGATATGAGGGTTTGAAAGCTTCAAAACCATACCATTTGTAAACTGAATAGCATATTAAGATAAAAAAAATAAACAAAATTCATTTTCCAAAGTTAAAAGAAAAACCTAAGATAAATTAACATTCATAGAAATGTAAACGGTATATTTCTTCAAATCTAAAAAATTTTAAATTGCATAATCGAGGGAAGATAGGGCATATGAATAAAGTTTTTATCACGATCATAATACCATGACTCAGAATCTTTCCCACCAAATTGGAAAGGTTAACGCTTTGAGTGTTCACATAAAAAACAGATTCTGTCAACTCGTAAACCAACCTAAGAACACGGATAGATCCTAACTCTCCTTTTATAAGAGGGTGAAGAGCTAACAGCTTCTTAGAAAAAATGTCGGCATAGGTTAAGTGTGAAAATAAAATCTATTTGTATCAACGGTAACTTGCTTTGATTTGTCTTGAAAATAATTGTTATCCTGCTTATTTTAAATTAATGAAACAATGTAAGGACAAAACAATTTTGTT